TCGCCTCGACGGGCTCTGCTTCGCGTCATACTGCTTCGAGTGCTGGCGGCTCTCGTAGCCGGCGCCCGGCCGGTTGCCGGCGTACTCTCCGTCGTAGTCGTACCGCGTCGCGTAGTCGTCGTCCTCGTCCTCGTCCTCGTCGTACGGGTCGTCGGCCTACGCGCGGGTGTCAGCCTCGGGTCACAGCCTCGGGTCGCCTCGGGCTCTCTCGTCGCAGGCTGGTGCGGGTAAGTGCGGGGGGGGGGGGGGGGGGGTCCGGAAAAACCGACAGGAACCGGGACGGGGGGGGTCCAAAAAAACAACAAAAACGGGGACCGGTTGGGGCCCTTGGCTTGGGGGGGGGGGGGGGCCCTTCGGAAACCCCCTGGGGGGGTTTCCCTTTCCCCCCCCCCCCCAAAAAAGGGGAAATTTTTGGAAGGCCAGGCCCAAAAAGGCAGAAAAAAAAAACCCCCAGGCCCCTTTTTCGGGGGGGGGGGGGCTCTCCCAAAACCCCCGGGGGGGCTATGCCGGGGGGCGGTGGGGGCGGTGGGGGCGGTGAGGCGGCGCGGGAACCGTGTGCGGGAGGCGGAAGTTGCCGCGAGCGCGTGGCGAGGGAGGGGGCGCGCACCGAGGCCCACAAGGGCGACAGCCACCGCCACCGGGTGGGCGCCGACCTCCGTCAGGACGCTCGCGCCCAAGGCGGACCCGCCCAGCACGCCGCCGCCCGCCGCGCCAAGGCCCAACAAGGTTTCTGGAGGCGGCGGCGACGGCATCGGCGGCGGCGGCGAACGCAGCACCGAGGACTTCGTCGAGGGGCACGAGACGGTGGTGGCGTCGCGCAGGTGCTTGATGTAGTCCTCGAGGCGGCAGCGCGCCGTCTCGGGCTTGGAGAGCACCGCCTGGGTGCGTCAAGGACCGGTTTGTGGGTTGGTTGCTTGCGACACAGCTGTGGTCCGCGTGCCGGGGCTCTCTGCTATGCTATCGGCGCCTGCAACGTCACGCTATCGAACTCGTCCGCGCGGTCGGGGTGCTCGAGTTTAAAAGATGCCTGCTTGCTGTGCGGGATCGCCACGCCCCCAAGCAGCGAGGCGCCCTCGACTTCGGACTCTGGGATCTCGACTTGGCACGGCCCGAAATCGACGGTGACGACCGTGCCGCCGACCCACGGCGCGATGGGTATCCGGACCTCGGCGGCAACTTCGTTGTCGCGGTACACCTTCTCGACCTCGATCTCGCCGTCGAGGAAGGAGCAGGAGGACATCGAGGGTCGCGGGGTGAGCGCCCGCCCGCACGACAGGCCTGTGAACGGCGTCGACAAAAGGGAAAACTGATTTGTAATACGGGCGAGTGGGATGCGCGTGATAGTCTCTTCGCTCTTCTGGCCGCAGTCGCGAGATCTTGGGCGTGCCGGCTCCGCCTTCGTGTCCGCTCGACTCCACACACAAATGCTAGCGGTGAACAGACAGGCACGGGCTCTCGCCACTGTGTCGCTGCTGCTGCTGCAGGCCTCTTGCCTGCCGTGGCTCGACAACGCGACGCCCGGCTGGTTCGAGCCACCTTTGCCGTGGCTGATGAGGGCCGGCGGCGCGTGGGGCGTCGCGGCGGCCTGCTGCTTGCTCTACTCGGGCGCGCCACAGTGGCAGAGAACGGGCGTGGACCTGCTGCGAATCGTCGGTGAGCGGCGCAAGCACCGTGGCACACGCACGCACGCACATGCTCGCCGAGAGCATCGATCGAGAGCAGTCTTCAGCTAGCTCTGCTTTTGTAGCTGCTCGGTATCCGCACAGGCGTCGTCGCATTGGGCTGTATGCTCATTCTCTGCTTCTCTGCGATCTCCAGCGACGGGCGGTTGGGCAGCCCGCCCTCGTGCTACTCCTCAGCCGCTGCTGGCGGCCTGCCAGACGCTGTGCCTGTGCCTCCGCTGTGTGGAGCCTTCCCGACCCGCCTCTCGGCGTGGCGCGCCTGCAGCCCCCGCAACTCGCCCTTAACAGTCATGTACTACACCGGCCCTCCCCATGCTGATCTGTGTGTCGCGCAAGGTCGTTCGCTCTCCTGCTCGTCAGCCTGGCCGCCCTCCTCTCGCTCTCCCTCTCCTTGGCTTGGCGGGGGGCACCCCTCGCTGCCGCGCCCCTGCACGGCGGAGCACGGCCCAGCGACTACAGGCGGTCGCAGACGGCCGCGGTAGCCTGCGCCCGAGGAACGCCGCGTTAGCGAGGATCGCGATGCACGGGTAGGCTCGACGACGACGGAGGCTGGGGGCCCGAGGGTGCGCCGCTCTTCTCCCGCCGCGGGCGCCGCTCGTCCATGCGCTCTTCTCCGGGCGGCAAGCCGCGAGCCAAGCTGGCGCGCGGGTGGCGCGAGCACGAGGACGCCGACGGCTGCCCCTACTATCGCCACAGAAAGACTGGGCAGGTGCAGTGGCGGCCGCCGATCGACTGTCACCTAGGCGCGCCGGGCCACTGTTTACCCACACACACGGACTCCCTGCCGACAATTCGCTCAGAGCATTGGGCGTCTCATGTGTGTGAGCGAGCGTGAGCGGAACGCTGACTTGTGGTGTGTGTGATGCACGATAGGCGCGCTGGAGAGCGGCGCCATCACCGAGATTGCCCCCTCTGAGCAGGACGGCGGCGGAGGGGCGCGAGTCTCGAGCGGGTCGGATAGTGAGCCCGGATTCTTTTCGTCTTGATGGATGATGGTGTCAGAGATGGTTCGACGAGATGGTGTGCGCGCGATGTATTAACTATTATGAATCGTTGACTAACTCCGTTGAGGCTTGAGCGTTGTCTCTCTTCAGCTCATACTCATTATTTTGAGAGAGTCTTTTTTGAGTGTTTTTAAGTTTTATCGTCTCCGTGCTCCGACTAAACACGTAGGAACATACGGTACTCAAACTCACCGCAGACGCTATTTTTGCGGATCACGTCGTTCAGACCCCCCCCTTCCGGAAGAGCAGCAGCGGGCGTTTCGCCCCGCCGCGCGCGCCTTGCGCAAACCCAGGACCTCTGGCGCCGTGCGCTCCGACTGCTGGCGCCGCTGCTGGCGCGGCGGCGGTCGCGGGCGGCACGGCCGCGGCGGCGGAGAGCTCCTCGCATGTGGCGAAGCCGATCTCTCCGAGCAGCAGCTCGCGAAACTGCGGCGGCTTGATCTGGATGGCGCCGTAGTTCCGCAGCAGGTGCGGCGCGAGGCCGGCGTTCTTGCGGTACGACGACCACGGCTGCGGCTCGAGGAGGAAGAGGCCGCCCGGCCGGAGGGCGGCGTGCACGCGGCGGAAGAGGCACTTGAGGCCCTCGTCCCCAAAGTGGAGGTGGACCCACTTAGAGGTGGAGAGGCAGAGGACCGTGTCGAAGGCGCCGCGCAGCTCGCCCTACGAAGAGGGGGCGAGGCGGTGCGTGAAGGCTGCTGTGCACGAGGGCGTGGGAGGCGAGCTGGGCGGAAAGGCGTGCGGTGAGGTCTGCGAGGTCTGGGAGGTGGTGTGTGTGCGAGGGGGGCTCACCTCGCCCGGTGTGCCTTCCGAAGGCGGCTCCTGCGCAATGTTGAGGTGCGCGAAGCGGACGCTGCGCGGGTAAGCGGCGCCCGGCTCGAAGGGCGTCGACTCGTCTGTCGCGCTGCCGAAGCGGACCACGCAGGAGGGCGGAGAGGCAGCCGCGGCCGGGGCCGGGGCCGCCGCAGGGGCGGGGGACGGGCCGGGGGCGCGACCGAGCAGCATGGCCCGAAAGTCGTCGTTGGTCAGCATCGGGTCGGCGGTCTTGCTCGCGGCGGGTGCGGCGGTGGGTGCGGCGGCAGGCGGCGGCGCGACGGGGGGCGGCGCGACGCCCCCGTCGGGGACGAGGAGGGTGCGCGCGCGGCGGACGAGGGCCGCGTCGATGTCGAGCCCGGTCATGGAGCGGACTGCGTAGATGCGCGCGACAGACGCAGTCAGCAGCCCCGCGTTGCAGCCGATGTCGCAAACGTCGCGCCCCCGGAACCACTCGGCGCGGAAGCTGCCCAGCCGCGCGTCGACGGGCGAGCCGTGCCCAAGTGAGGCGGGCACCAGCCGGTACGAGTAGTAGTTGTCGTAGTTTCCGTACACAAAGGCAGCCTTTCGCCGCCCCGGCCCGCGGCCCGCCCCGCGGCCCGCCGCGCCACCCCCACCCAACGCCCGAGCAGCCGCGCCTCGGCCTCGACCCGCCCAGCACCCGACTCGCCCACCCGCCGCAGCGAGTGGCGTCGCGGAGGCAGTGCCCGCGCCATACTCCGCCGCCGCCTCGGCCGCCGCCTCCGACCCCTCCACCCTCGTCCCGGCCAGTCGAGCCGAAGTAGGCGCCTCCGTCCCCGCAGCTGCAGCCGCCGCGGCCTCGGCCGCCTCGGCCTGCTTGCGCTTCTGTCGCTGCGCCTTGCGCCGCAGCGTGTCGCGCGAGCCGGTGCCCGTGGCGTCAGCGGTGATGGCCGGCGCCGCTAGCCCCGACTCCGCTGTCTCGGGTGGCCCGGCGCGCTTCCTCTTTGACCCGCCTCGCTTTTGGCCACTCTTGGCGCCGCTCGCTTCGACGCCACCCGACGCCCCCTCCTCCCTCTTGCGCTTGTCTGCGCTGCCCGCTCGGCCGCTTGCACTGCGGCTGCATCCGCCGCCCTCTCCGCCGCCCTCTCCGCCGCCCTCTCCGCCGCCCTCCCCACCGCCGCCACTCTCCGCCTCAGCCACCTCGTGCTTGCGCTTGCGCTTCCGCGACTTGCTGCTGCCTCCCTCGCTGCCTCCATCGCTGCCCCCCTCGTTGCCTCCCGTGCTGCTTCTGTTGCTGCCGCCCTTGCTGCTTCTTTTGCTGCCTCCCTTGTTGCCGCCCTTGCTGCTCCCCTTGCTGCTCCCTTTCCCGCCAACCTCTCCTGCGCGCTGCTCTAGCGAGGCAAACGCGTCTCGCCCGCCGCTGCGCCGGGCGTCCTGCGGCCTCTCCTGTCGCCCGCCCGATTCCAGCACAGGCACGCGCCTGCCGTGGTAGGGGTCCACTTCAAAGGCGGCGCGAGCCGTCACCGCCGCCGCCATGACGGGCGCTGCAGCCGCCGTAGAGGACGCCGTGGCGGCGGCGAAGCCATCCGAGGAGCCAGCCTCGCGTGGCGTGGCGGCGCTGCAGCCCTCCTTGGCGGCTCCCTTGGCCTCGCGCCGCGCGCGGCGCTTCACGTCGCGCCGCGCCGCATGCCCCGATCGCTCGAGCGAGCCGTCGGCAGCCATGCGGTAGACTTTGCCGACTGCAAAGCCGGCCGCGTGCAGCTGTGCGGGTGAGGCTGCCGGCGGAGGTCCCTTGCGACGCAAGCGCTTGGGCGCGCGGCTGCTTCCACTCGCTCCGTCGACCTCGGGCGGCACAGGGTCAAAGCTGTCCCACTCTCTCGCGGCTGCCGCTGCGGCGGCGGCCGCCGGAGGCGCGCCCTCCGCCTCGCCAGCCTGGCGCGAGCCCCAGGTGTGGCCAGCGCCGCTCTTCGCAGCGGATCGGCGCTGGTTGGCGCGCAGGTGAGCGTGGACAGCGGCGGAGAGGTCTGCGCATGGCTCGCGCCGGAGATGACCGCAGGAATCCAGCATTCTTTTTCTACTTGTTATTGAGAAGAAAATACCGGCTCCGCTGGTTCACATAAACGCACAACCCCGGGCCCGAAATCGCACAGAAACAGTCACGCAACACAGGGTCCCAGGGAAGGCAACAGGAGAATCGTGCTTTTTCAGTGTATGTTTTTGGGTTGGGTTGTTGCGTTTGGGTTGGGTTGTTCCGCGTAAGGTTGGGTCGTCGGCGCGAAGGGTGAGGTCTCGACCGCCGCCGCTCACGCCAGCGGACGGCCACCATCGGTGATTTTGGCTTCGCCACCGTTCAAAGCGTGCGCAATGCGCTCGCCGGCATCGAGCGAGCACGCCTGTCCGACGAGTGGCTTGCTGTGTGGACGCCTTCTTGTGGCTCTCGTCGAGAGCGTTTTGCGTCCCGGCGGGTGGGAGAGCATGTCGTCTGATGTGTCACTGTGTGCGTCACATCGGTCTTGATAACAAGCACGGTCGATCCGTCGAAGCGATACACTCGTTCCTATCACGCTGGAAGGCTTGCACGGAGCTCTGTGCCGGCACACAGAAGAGCCGTGCGGCAAGAGAAGAGCTCGATGGGGAGCGAGAACCGCCAGAGGTGCTCACCCAGGTTTCGGAAGTCCGCCTTGATGCGGTCAGTTCCCCCCAGGTTTGACCGCGCAGCTCGCAAGACTCGTCGAGCACTCGCAGCCTTTCTGCGCCACTGCGCCTCTCTGACTCTGCAAGCTATGCGGGAAGAGCAGTTTATCCGCAATATATCGACGAGTTCGAGAGAGCCACAGGCTTTCGCTCGGGAGGGATTGAGTGCATCGCGACAGACTTCAGGTTACACCTGAAAATCTGACGGTTCTCGCTCCCCATCGAGCTCTTCTCTTGCCGCACGGCTCTTCTGTGTGCCGGCACAGAGCTCCGTGCAAGCCTTCCAGCGTGATAGGAACGAGTGTATCGCTTTGACGGATCGACCGTGCTTGTTATCAAGACCGATGTGACGCACACAGTGACACATCAGACGACACATGCTCTCCCACCCGCCGGGACGCAAAACGCTCTCGGCGAGAGCCACAAGAAGGCGTCCACACAGCAAGCCACTCGTCGGACAGGCGTGCTCGCTCGATGCCGGCGAGCGCATTGCGCACGCTTTGAACGGTGGCGAAGCCAAAAACACCGATGGTGGCCGTCCGCTGGCGTGAGCGGCGGCGGTCGAGGCCTCACCCTTCGCGGCGACGACCCAACCTCACGCGGAACAACCCAACCCAACCAACCCAACCCAAACAACCCCACTGAAAGCACGATTCTCCTGTTGGGCCCTCAGCCTGTTCACAGCCTTGTTCCGTGCGAGCCCTGGAGGCCCTGCCTGGGGATGGGGGGAGACTACCCGCGGGCCTAGAAGGCCCGCGCTTCACAGCTGTCTGCCCTGCTCCTTTAGGTGCTCTTAGTATGTTCAGATTGTCGAGTTGTACCCCTCTCTCTGTACCCCGTCCAGAGTGCAGAGAGAGCTTTGTTTGGCCTTTGCTAGCAGATTGCTACATCATGGGTTTTTGTCTTCTCTCTGGCACTCTCGCTCCTCTAGTCGGTGCGACGCCACCGACATACCCCTTCTCACCGAAGGGGCAACCAGTTTGTGCCATCCCGTGTGCAGAAGCGGGGGAGAAATCAGCACACCTGAGCCCTGGGCCTGGCCTCGACAGACACCTCGACACCGAACCTCGACACCGACTCGACACCTCGACACCCCATGCCAACTCGACAAACTCGACACCCCTCGACACCCCTCGACACCACGACACCCCTCGACACCATCTAGGCTGGGACCATGCTCGCCGGTGTCAAGGTGCCAAACTCGACACCTCGACACCGCTCGACACCGCTCGACACCGCTCGACACCGCTCGACACCGCTCGACACCGCTCGACACCGCTCGACACCGCTCGACACCGCTCGACACCTCTGATGATCCTAACACAGCAGAGACGTAGACCCATTGGAGTCACAGAGTTAGAAAATCAGGGTTGCAGCAGCAATCAAACTTGGCTGGCAGTGCTTTCATCCCTCAGTTGCAGCCTCTTAAGTTCTAGCTCAAGTTGCAGCTCAGTTGCACCCCTGCAATGACCAATGTAGCAACCATGGCAGTACTCAGGTAGCCCTCAGGTGCTGCGCAGCACCTTGTACAGTGACAATGATCCTCACACCAGTGAGCTTGTGCCATGAGTGCAGACCTGTGGTCCATTGCGCTTTGTGCACTGGCGACGCTGCAACGGCGACGCTGGCAGCGGCGGCGACGCTGCTGCGATGGGGTACTGTAGCCCTTAGCTGCTGGACAGCACCTTGTGCAGTGGCAATATCCACTGACTCATGGCACCAGCCTGTGCCATGAGCGCTGTGGTCAGTTGCGCTTTGACCTTTGTGCGCCGGCGACGCTGCAGCGGCGACCGACGACGCTGCAGCGGCGACGCTGCTGCATGTGGGGTGTGCTGTAGCCTTAGGTGCTGCGCCTGTACAGCACCTTGTGCAGTGGCAATGACTCCTGGCGCTAGTGAGCTTGATGTCCTCAAATGTCCACAGAGTATACTGGTTGTGCTCACAGGTTGTGCTACGGTACATCAACAGGGGTGCAACTTTGAAAGGCTGCAACTAAGGGACGAAACAGCTTTGCAGCTGCGGCCCAAGTTTTGTTATGGGCTGCAACTGCATCCTGCCACCTTGGATACCTCGACACCTTAGACGCTAAACACCTTGACAACACTCGACACCCGCTCGACCCGCTCGACCCGCTCGACACCCTCGACACCACTCCTCGACACCTCGACACGGACAAGCATGGTCCCAGCCTAGACAGGCCTCGATGGGCCTCGACACAGGCCTCGACAGGCCTCGACAGGCCTCGACAGGCCTCGACACCTCTATCCCTCGACAGCAGCACGACACCCTCGACACCGAGCCTCGACACCTCGACACCAGGGCTCAGCGGCACACTTTTGCGCCGCCCCCCGCAAAAAACGGCGCAGATCTTCGCCGGCGGCGCACTTTTCGGCGCAGATCTGCGCCGCCGCCGGCGCGCAGAAGTGCCCGTTTTCTCCCCCGTTTCGGCACACTCTGCGCCGCCTCACCACATAGGGGTTGGCACACCACATACTGGTTGCCCCGTTGCCCCTTCCTACCCTTATAAGTCTCTCGTGTCCGCCATTCCGGTTTCCGCGTTTTATGAATGTAGAACGTCCCAGCTGAAAACCTCCTAGGAGTCCTAGTCACCTCCGACCTAGCCCAAAAAGGAACCGTTCAGGAACTGGCTCGCCAACATGAGAGGATACAACGCGCCGTCCGCATCGTAGAGCTCCACATTGTAGATGACAACGACCGCAGCGAACGTGAGCGACCACACGAGCGGGACCAGTCGTTGCAGCGAATTCCACTGGCCCATCGGCGTGAACGGGTACTCGTAAAGGAGCATGCTCACAAGGCCCATCGCCGGCACGGCCCACAGCAATCTGACGGTCAACGCGCTCTTCATCACGATAATCATGACCAGCTCACTCAAGCTCAAAAGCAAGCCGACTCGCTTGACGAGCTTCTTGCACGCGGCGTCCGCGGCCTTACCGACGTACATCACCGAAGACCCCGCCAGGCTCGCGTCAGTCCATTTGTAGGTTTCTACGAGCTGGAGCGCCGTCTCGTCGAGGTTCATAATGAATTTCCCGACCAGGGCTGTCGTGGCGAGCGAGTAAAAGTTGAAGTCGGTGTTGAGCGCAACCTTTGCTGCCGTGGCAAATATGAGCATGGGGAAGATCATTCCGACCAGTACCACGAACGCCGCCTCTCCCGCAACAATCACCCAAATGCCTGGGACCCACGATCCCGCCTTCTTCAGCTTCGGGCGGGCTCTCAGCAGACTGCGTAGCAGCAGGAAGGTGTGCGCCGCCTCGCTGAAGGCCGTCATGCCCAAGAGGCTCGCGAGCTGAAGGAAGGGGAAGAGGAGGAGGACCACGACGAGGCAAATGTGGGAGAGGACGTCCAGCTTGCCAGAGTGGGCGTCAAACGTGCTGCCCCAAGAGAAGTCGGTCGAGTTGCCCTGCACGAGCGACACAAAGTAGGTGTTGATCGATCCCAACGTGAGGCAGAATTGGATCGTGTGCGTGAGGACGAGCAGCGTCCATGCCAGCAGGGCGTCCCTGCCCTTGAGCGTGCCTTGCAGGGTCGCAATCATCGCCGTCGAGGCGAGACCGTTGGGCTTGAAGGTGATGAGGTCTGAGGTATCCGCATCGGCGGGCATAGACCGCTTTGGTGCCAGCGTGCACGGAGTCGTGGGGAGCGTCCACTGTAGCGTGCATGCTCGCATCCCTCGGCGGGTGTGTGAAGCACAAGACTTGCGCGGCCGGGGAGTGGACGAAGGCTCAAGGCGATGCTAAGACGGACAGCAAGCAGTCGCTTTCGCCGCAGCGCCGCCCGCCCGTCGTTGGCGGCCCAGGTTGTTACAATTGTACGGATTTGCGCAGGTAGATGATGACTAGGCAGACGCGCGAGGCGCGTCCATTTCTTTCAAATTAAATAAATCAGCCGGATTTCTCTTCGATGCGGGCGCAGGAGCTCGCGATGACGAACGGCGACGGCTATCGGGTGGTGGAGACGCGCCCGTGGGTGAACCCGCTGGCGCGTGGTGCGGGACCCAACCCGCTGGCGCGTGGTGCGGGACCCAACTTTCCGGCGCGTGGTGAGGGACCCGACGCCGACCAGGAGGACTTTGCGCTCCGAGAGTGGCTCCGGTGCTCCTTCGAAATGTGCATGAGCGATCGCGACCGCGAGGTGGTGGGGGAGGCGGCGCGGGACCGGGAGCGGATCCGCCCGGTGGATGGAGGAGGCGGGGAAGATGCTGGAATGGGACTGGGGGAGTGAGCGGCTCGCGGTTGCCGAGTCGTGCCTGCCATCCCGTGTCGCGGAAGCGAGGCGGCTAGTGGCACAGGAGCTCTGGGTGGTGGGGTGGGACCGTGGGAGTGTGTGGGTGCCCGCGCCGCCTAGCTCTGCGGACGGGCCCCTCCACCGCCCTCACGTACAGGTCATGTAGTCCCCACAATCGCTGTCGTGGGATCGCTTGTCATGTGAGAGAGTGCGTTGTGTTCTTAAGTGAAAATTCTTGGCTAATTTCTCGCTTTCTCTCTTTGAGGGAGTTTTGTTGTAAGATTCTCTCTTTGTGAAACATTTCCGCCGATAACGATTGGGGTGGGGGCCCCAACTCGTGAAAGGCCACTAGTTTCTCGAAGCCACTCACACGAGGACTCACCTCCATGACACTTCCATCTTCTCCCCGGACCTCGCAGCTCGCTGCGTGTGGTTTTATTTATCATGGACGCTATGGCGTCTAGGACGCGCCTGTCTTTCACCGCCTCGTTTAGCGAGCGCTCTGCATGGCAGCGTGCTCCTCTTTTGCTGACCGCCAGAGCGGCGGCAGCACAGATTTCTTTTCTCCATGACCGTGTGGCCGATCGGCCACGAGCCGCCTCGGGCGGTCAGGCTTCAGCCAGCGGCGCCTCCTGGTGGCGCCTCCGGTCGGCCACGCTTGCCGCCGCAGTTCGGCTTGGCTACAGCTCCAAGCGTGGCTACGCGCAGGTCGGCCCCTTTGACGGGACGGGCACCGCCTCTCGCCAGGCCATCCCGAGAGCGCCTGGTCCCGGCCGGCGCACTTCCGATGCGCGCCGCGTTGAGGCCGCCGGGCATCGGATGCCGCACGCCTACGCCCGCCCTTGTTCCGGGGGTGGGCGCGAGGCTCGCGCCCTCGGGCCCCGTCCCTGCGCCATCGAGGGCTAGCGTGGCTGCCTCCGCTCTTCCCCCAGCGGAGCTGACGGCGCGCGGCCGTCCTTTCGGGGCCGCTGGCCTGGGGCCTGCGCCCTCCGCGCAGCCCTCCATTTCGTGCCGTCAACGAACATCTTCTGCCGTCGGCCCGTCGGGCGACTCCCAACGCGGGAAGAGGCGGCGAGCGTCAGCCGAGGAGCGCGAGGCGATGTCCTCGCACGCCGACGTCCAGGCGTACCAGCTGGATCGAGCCGCGAGATGGCTGGCCGCCCAGCTGCCTCCGTCCTCTGTTTTCGACCTCCTCGGGGGCGAGCAAGGCCTCGCCCAAGTCCCCGACGACTCCGAGAGGATGGAGGCCCTCGTCGCCACCGTCAAGCTCAAGGGTGGGGCGGACGGCGCTGTCCTCGGCAACGCCAGGCGCTCGCTCGAGCGGCTGAGGGAGTTCGCCCTCGAGCGCGGCCTCCCGGATGGAGGACTCCCCGCTTCGCCTGTCCTCCTTAACCGCTTTCTGATTTGGGTCGACGCGAAGGCGCGCTCGGCGAACAGGGGATCGCAGGGCGGGGCGACAGTACGTGACGGGGTGCGCTCCGGGCTTTTGTTCCTAGCTCGCCACCTTGGGCTTCCCATTTCCATCGGGTCCGTGGTGGCGGAGGCCGCAGCGCCGCCGGGGAGGAAGTTGCGGCGCGAGCGCCGCTCGGGCTCTCTTCCTATCAAGGTCTACTGCCACTTCGAGGAGTTGGCCGCGTCTCCTGTCGACACGCCCGCTCGCTTCTTCGCCCGGTCGATCGTACTGGGGCTGTTCTCGAGTCTTCGAATGGTGGACATCCTCCGGGCGTGCATCGGTCCCCTCGAGGACCTGCAGTGCGTCATGCTCGTTACTTCCTTCTCCAAGGACGGCGCGCCGATCGACGTGTACCTTCCGGCGGAAGGCTTCCTTGGCGCGTGGGCATGGTGGCCCGAGCACCGAGCCGCCCTCCTGGGCCGGCCATACTTGCTGCCCGCCTTCGCGGCGCCGCGCGGCTACGCGGGAGACGTCCGCTACGCCTCCGACTTCCTCGTGGACGGCCGCGTCGCCCCCAAGGCGCACGCAGTCCGCTCGCTCTACGTGCTCTCGTCCGAGCCGCCGCTGCGCATGGGCCAAGAGCGGTGGTCGGAGCTCGGCTGCACGCCCCACTCGTCTCACGGCTCTCCAGCCGACATGGGGGCCGTCGTCTCTCACCACGCGCCGCCCGACATCGCCTTCACGCCTCAGGACGAAAACGAGATCTGCCATTGGCGTCGCCGCGCCCACGCCAATAGCGGCGACGGCGAGCTGACGCTCGAGGGCGCTATCGCGCATCTCGCTCCGCGGCGGCGCGGCCATGCGGGCGCTGCGCCGAGCGTCGCGGCCCCTCCGGCCGTCGCTGCTGACGACCAGAGCATGCGTGTTCGGTACACGGCGGGCGCCAACCGCGAGGGCCGCCGCCGGGCGCAGCTTCGTGTGCGGCGTCGGTGGATTCTAGCCGTTCGCCGTGGTCTGGCGCGTTTCGGGCGGCCGTGGACCGATCTTCCTGGCGACCGCTCCGACTACGACATTCTCGTCGATCTTCCGGCGGCGCCGTAGCGCGCGGGCCTCGTCCCTCTCTCTCGTCGGGTCTCGTCCCGCGTCCCTGATGGGCTGTCGCGCACATCCGTCCCTCTCTTTCGTCTTCATTGGGTGTCGAGTCCCCTCTGCTCTCGCTCCTCCACTCTCTGCTTTGGGATGTTAGCGTGCTCTCGTACCGTGAGTACTCTCCATGTGTGGAGTCACGAGTCTCGTACGCATGACGGACCCTTTTACCATTCCAATGTATCCTCACTCGGATACTAGGATGTGTGAAGCGAGATAAACTAGTCCGCCGATAACGATTGGGGTGGGGGCCCCAACTCGTGAAAGGCCACTAGTTTCTCGAAGCCACTCACACGAGGACTCACCTCCATGACACTTCCATCTTCTCCCCGGACCTCGCAGCTCGCTGCGTGTGGTTTTATTTATCATGGACGCTATGGCGTCTAGGACGCGCCTGTCTTTCACCGCCTCGTTTAGCGAGCGCTCTGCATGGCAGCGTGCTCCTCTTTTGCTGACCGCCAGAGCGGCGGCAGCACAGATTTCTTTTCTCCCACCCACCCTCTCCAACGTGGGGTCGACTCGTACTACACAAGACTGCTCTCGTCGAATCTAATCCACAATCTCTCTCATCATGCGGCGGAGACGTGCCGCGATGATGTCGCCATGGCACCGCTTCGGCGCGCATGCGCACACCAGCCGGATTTGCTCCCCAGCCAACATGCGCTTGAGCACTCCTGCGAACGCATCCTCTCTCCGCTCTCGGGTGACCTCTCTCGCGCCCTCGTCGACCGCCAACGGCGGGCAGCGGCGCCCTGCAGCCTCACTGGCCGTCGCCCTCTCCTCTAGTATCTCTCGGTAGCCGTCTACGACCGCGTCCCTCTCTCTCTCTCCTCTCATCACCAGCGGGTTACCGAACGGCGAGCCCCGCTGGATGTCGACGTCGCTCGGGGAGCGCTGGCGGCGATGGTGCTTGTTCACCACCACCACCGACCTATGATCATTCTGCCGAGGTCACACGCGTCTCCCGGCGTGCCAACGCGCTGGGCGGCGCCATGCGTGCCCCTACTCTTCGTTAGCCGCGGGCGCCTCCGAGCGCTCCGCCGTCTTCTTCTTCATCTCGGGCGGGTGGCGGTACTCGTTGCACCTGCGCTGCCGGTACGCGTGGCACGCGCCGTCCTTCTTCCAGGCGGGGCAGATGGGCAAACCCTCCCACGATGGCTGGCGGGGCTTCTTCCCCCCCTTGCTCGCGGTGGGCTCCTTCGCGGCTTGCGCCACGTCCTTCTTCGGCGGCGCAGGCGCCTTTCGCTTGTCCTTGCGAGCCGCGATGAGCTCGGCGGAAGCCATCGTGGCGACTAGCGCCGCCGTCAGGCTTCCGCGCCGCGCCGAATGCTGCGCGATCAGCTCATTCCAGATGGACCTCGCATACTCCTCCTGCTGGCTCGGGGCCAGAGGCCCGAGCGCAGCGACGACGCGGTCTACCGCAAGGTCCGCAATCGACGAGTTCAGCGCCGGGGCACGCTTCTCCGTCTCGCCCGTGCTCGTGTCCATCACGTCGAGGGTCGCCTCGTCGCAGTCGGCGAGTGTGGCGTTCGCCGGCAGCGGGCCCGCGTATGCGATGGCCAGCGCGAGGAGGGCACTGATGAGGTCTCCCAGTGGCGATTCGCGCCCCTTGGCGACCTCTTGCTGCCGCCCCGCCGCCACCACCTTGGAGAGCTGCGGAAGGGGCGGCGGAGCCTCGCCGTTGTCATACGGCGAGAAGGCGACTACCATATCCTTGGACGGGAGGTGGTAGGCGTCGCGGGGAGCCGCCCGCTGGGCCTGCCACCAGACCCGCGCGGAGGCGAACTTCTCGAGGTCCTTCTCCTCCTTTGTACGGGATGGAGCGGGCATCGGGGCAGCCGGCGCCCTGCCTCCGCTCACCTCGGTTGGCGTCTGCGGGAGCGTCGTCGAGGAAGAGACCAGCAGGGCCCGCGCCTTCTCCTCCGCCTCGGCGAGGTTGCGGAGTTGCTTGATCAGCTGGCGAAGCTGGCCCTTCGCCCAGCTGCCGGTCCAATCGACCCCGTCAGATGTCACCTTCCAACCTCCCTCGGGCTCCTCGATGTCGCGGAGCTGGGTCAGGACGTCCTCAAGCCACGCGTTGGTGAGCTCTCCGCCCTCATCTTCGAGGGCGGAGAGCTGGCGAGCCGCCGTCTTGGGCTGATCCTCCGTCGTCAGCTCAGCGGCGCGCTCCGCGAGGATGGCGTACTCGGGCCGGGCACCGTCGCTGCCCATGAGGGCGATCTCGTTTCCCTTCTCTTGCGCCTTGGAGAGGGCGACGAGCTTCTCTGCGATGGTGGGCGGGTCGTCGTTGCCTGCCTGAGCCATGTTCCGAAGCGCAGCAAGCGTCACTTGTGGGCGTGTTGTGATAAGGAAGGTGGAGCGCCCTTTATTGAGGTCGTTCTCCGTCCCTCCTTGCTGGATTCTCCGGTCTGCTCTTTCGCCTCTGTTCTGACTTGTACCTCGTCTCAAGCTTCTGAGCTGCGTTGCGCAGGCCATCCCGCTTCTCTTTCTACGAGGAATTTCTTCTTTACGGCGCTTGTTCTATCACGCCGCCACGAAATTTGGTTCTCCGTCCAGGAGTCCTTGGCCTCTCCCAGCCAGCACGCCTGACGACTCTCGGGCAGCCATGCTGGCACAAGTTCGCGCCGAGCGCGAGCGCATGCGCTCCTCCAAGGTCTACACAAAGTCGCTCGCGATCCTGTCGGCGCTCGCGCTCTGTGTCGGCCACCGTCGGCCGACGGCAGCGGCCGAGCCTTGGGCTCTACAAGCCAAGGCGCGCATGCCTCATGATCCGGCCGATTTCCCAGCCGCTCGTGCTGTGGAGGTCGCCTCTCAGATATCTGAGGCTATGGGCATGGTTCACCCCCTCGACCAGCTTCACTCGTCCCTGCCGGATGACGTGCGGGCGGCGGCGGAGTGGTTGGTTGCGTCTGGCTCGAACGCTCACAACCTCCGAAAGGGGAGACTCTCCTCGATAGCGAAGGTTGCGTCTGATCTGCTCGGCTGGTCCACACACTTTGGCGGTTTCTCGCCAGCTCACCTTCGCGAAGCGAAGCCGCCTCTTCCTCATTATGCATTCGCGTCCTGTGTTGCGGACGCCATTGGATGGCCTGACGAGGGACTCTTTGAGGACCTAGTCCTTGGCGCCCCATGCGTCGGCGGCTGTCCAGACAGCGGTGTCTTTCGCGAGTACGAGCAGCCTGCCTCGGTGGCGATGGACGAGCTTGCACACGGCGACTGGAATCGCAAGGTCGCTGAGAGCCTCTTCGCTCTCCGTGGCAAACCCGAGAAGCGACCCGATCTAGTCGCTCTCTGGGATCGGACTCAGAAGGAGGTTACCGATGGTTGGGCGTCTCCCATCGGTTCTGTCGCTTCGATCGATGATGTCGCAGAGATCGACGGCCACCTCGGTGGTCGTGAGGCTTGGCGATGCTCGATGCGCTTTGGCGTATGGCAGAAAGGCAAGCTTCGACCGTGTGACAACTGTCGTGACAGCCTTCACAATGCTGCTACTTCCCTCTTTGAGCGGCTCGTCACGGACACGGCCGACTTTCCGGCTCGTGCTGCCGCGCTTTTTGCCGAGTTAGTCGGCGAGGCAGCCTCCTTCTCGATGCTCCTAGGAACCGAGGACATCGAGGCCGCGTATCGACGCGTGCCGTGTAGCCAACCGTGGTACACGATCTTCGCCCAGTTGGATCCGTCCACTGGCAGGGTCTTCTTCTTTCGCCTACAAGGCTTCAATTTTGGATTGAAATCGGCCGTCATACAGTTCAATAGACTCGCCGAGTTTATTTGTCGCGCCTCTGTGAGGCTTCTCCCCGTCGTGGGCTCTCACTTTTTCGATGACTTCGCCATATGCGAGCCCTCGTTTGCGGCCGGCGGCCAGTTCTTTCTGCGGGAGTTCTCAGCCCTCTTGGGCTTCCCTTTCTCGGGCGCCAACGTGGGCGACGATAAATCGTCATTGGCTGCTCTGGTGAACACCTACTTAGGTGTGGTCCACGACTTTAGTTCGTTCTCGACCCGTCGGCTGGTTCGTTGCTCCGTCTCGAGCGCGCGAGTGGAAGGGATTGCTGAGGCGATAGATGCCATCTTGGCCGCGGGCTCGTTCGACGGGTCGCGAGGCGCGGCCAAGCTATGCGGTCAGCTCCAGTTCTCAGTGTGCTGGTCTGCCTATCGCTTCGGGCGTGCCGCCCTCCAGCCCCTGTACAGAGCTGCACAAGGGTCCCGAGGATCCAGCTTCCCAGAGTCGCTGCGTCGCGCTCTTCTCTTCTTGCGCGGGCTTCTGGCCGACACTAGTGGTCGGTCTCGCCTGCGGCCGAGGACGATCTGTTTGCTTCGGCGGCGACGCCGGCGCAAGCCCGTCCTAGTCTGGACAGACGCGATGTGGTCGCCCTCCGAGGACGTCCCTGCTCGGATTGGCTTCGTCGTCTTCGTCCCCGACGATGAGGGCGAGGGCGGGTCATGGTACCACTCCTCCCTTGCCGTTCCGGAGGACTTCATGCGCCTCTTTGCTGTGCGCCTCCAGTACATCGGCCAACTAGAGCTCCTCGCAGCCGTTGCCGTTTACTACTCCATGCCGGACGTCTTCCGTGACCGTCGCGTCTTTCACTTCATCGACAACGCGTCGGCTCTCGCGTCCATCGTCAAGGGCTATTCTAGCTCCGATGACTCGGCGCGCGTCGTCCACAGCTTCTGGGCGCTGGTCAGCGGGCTGTCAGCCGATGTGTGGATGGTCTACGTGCGCTCAGAGGCTAACGTAGCCGATATGCCCTCGCGTGGCGACCTCTCATACGTCACCGCCGTTCTCGGCAGCGAGGAGCGGCCTACAACCTTGCCGCCCATCGAGTCTTGGGGCTCTGTGGCAGGGGCCCTCGCCGTCGCTGAGCCTGCTGGCTCCGAGAAGGAGAACGTGAGGCGCCGTCGGCGTTAGCGCTATTCACAGCGCTGTGTCGAAGGGGTGAGCGGGCGTGTACGCCGGCCCCTCTCTTTAGTCTGGGTCTGAGGCGCGAACCCTTTCGGCGACGCGGCCGGCCACAGGACGTCGAGGATTCCTCCGGACCTGTGGTTCGTCCAAGCTGATTGAGTCCCAACCCTCCGCCTTTAGTGGCAGGACCCCAGGGGATGTTAGCGTGCTCTCGTACCGTGAGTACTCTCCATGTGTGGAGTCACGAGTCTCGTACGCATGACGGACCCTTTTACCATTCCAATGTATCCTCACTCGGATACTAGGATGTGTGAAGCGAGATAAACTAGTTTGGAAAACAAAATAATTCGGGCCAGGCAAATGATCTGAGGGCGGCGTCGCAGGACGGGGCAGAAGAGAACAACGCGACAGAGGAGGAAGTGACAAGGGAGAGAACGACGAGGGTGGGACGACCGCGTGGTGGCATGAAGGTTGCAGCGAGAATCAGCGAGAGACTGCGAAGAGAGATAGGAAGAGGCAGACTCCCTAGGGTGGGCGACGGATAGCGCACCACACACCTCTCCTTAAAATCCCTGTGGGCGGCCGTCGCATAGAACGAGGCCGAGGAGAGCGATGAGTCAGAGGATGAAACAGCAGGAGAGAGAACGACGAGAGTGGGAGTAGGTAGGTAGGTAGGAAACATACAGATAGACCCTCCAATACCTCCAACCTGATCGGTCGTGCTGACCGCCGACAGATCACTCCACAGCAGACAGGCCGACGTCTGTACGCGGCCGGCCGGGCGAGAGGCTTGACACGATCCGACCCTGCGACCGTGACGCTGCTGGTCTAGCTATCAGACATGCACTGCTGACTGCTGCCACGATGTGCGACCGGTCCTGGCCCACTTGGCGGCCTTCCCGGTCAGTGGTGAGGCGCAGTTCAGAGCTGTCGATGGCGCGATGCCGCACTGGTCCCACATTGGTGACACGAGACCACCAAGTTTGCCGGTCCAAGAGAGAGGCACCGGCGCTGTCCTGAGAAGGTGCGTGGTCCCTCTTGACTGCCCATGCGCGCGAGGCTGTGTAGGCATAGCCTCGAGAGTGCCAGCAGCCAATCCGAGGCAGTTTGTGACGGGCATTGCGTCAGAAGCGTGCACGCAGCTGGAAGGACACCTTCCTACTGGCCGTACGATCAGGTCGTCACTGAATGCTGGATACTAAGGCCGCGAGCTATGCGGGTGATCAATTGTGCAGCATGGCACGGTCAGCAGCGCCGACAGGCTGTCGCAAGGCGTGATAGCATGGCCGCAAGTACGCCGAATTCCCATGAAAATTCCCGGATTCCGGAGCGCTCCGGAATCCGGGAGCGGGCGCAGCCAGCTCCGGAAGGCCGCCTCCGGAAGCGGCGCTCGCGCTGAGCGCCGCTTCCGGAGGGGGTTCCGGAGGCCGGCAGCCGGCGCAGCCGGCTCCGGAAGCCTTCCGGAAGGGTGAAAATTGGGTGCGGCGCGGCCCGCTCCTGTCTACACGGGTTCTCCGCAAAATTCCCGGCATTTTGACGAGTTGGCCTAAAATTTGGCTGATTTTGGGCCCAAACCAGCCTCAGACTCGGCTCAGAGCCAAAAATTTGACGATTTCCACGGAGTTTTCTCGGGAAAATAGAGAGGAAAAGAGAGGGTGCTGTAGAGAAAAAAGGAAAGGAAAACAGACGGGGTGCGAGAGGAAAACCTCGTACAGCCTAACCAAGGGTGCGCCGTCCCTTTAGGCGGGATTTTCTAGAGACCACGCCTCACTTTTTCACAGGGGGGGGATCCGTCTGGAAAAAGGATGCTAGGATGCTTTTCGCTGCACATGCTCGAGGCGAGGGCTTGTGCTGTGAAAGCAGGCGTGGTCTCTAGGTACCCGGGACTGGATCCTGATATAACAGTACTAGCCCGCCTCAACCCACTTTACCCATGTACATACTATTATACTACTAGTACTCGAGTACCTTGGGGGTTTTTGCTAAGGTGTAGATCAGGTTCCACACCATCGTCCCACACGTAGCTCAGCGGTCAGGTGAAAAGGGGTTTTTGCTAAGGGCCTCCCACACACGCCACCCACACCGGATATGTCTTGGGCAAGTATTGCACTTTTCTTTCGTTTACAACAAGCCTCGTGCATACAATTAACACATGTATTCCTAAAAAACTCTCTCTCTACAATTATTATTTTTATTCGAAGTATTATTAGAACTATTATTATTCTTATTTGCACCGCTGAGCTCGCCGGCCTTGTCCTTGCCCGCCTTGTTCTCGGCGGTGATGCGGTCGGCCTCCTTCTTGTGCTCGTTGATCTCCAGAAGCAGCTGCGTGCAGGCAGCGGTCAGGCGACGGTCGGGCGGCGGTTAAGGGTGATCAGGGGGTGACCAGGGGGGGAGGGCGAGGGCGCTTGCGGGTGTGGGCTGGAGAGGAAGAGCGAGGGAGCTGCGCCGCCCACCTGCTGGAACTCAGTGAGCGCCACCTCGGACTTGGTGCCCTCAGTGCCGGCCTCGGCCGGCTCGTTGTGCTCCATCCTCGGCGTCCAGAGGTGCTTGTTGGCGGCGAGCTGGCGCTCGATCCAATGGATGATGGCCTGCTCGTCCTTCGGCCAGGCAAAGGTCTTGAACGCCGGTGACTTCTTGACCAGCGTGACGATGGACTCCCACTCCTCCTTGCGGTTGTACTGACGCTCCTGCTCCCCTTGACGTTCGCGTGGTGGGTCATCCAGGCCTTGACGCCCGAGAAGCTGACCTGCTGAAGCATGATCTCGGCGCGGAAGTCGACGTTCCACTTCATCTGCTTCTCCGTGGTCGCGGCCGGCAGCACCTCGGTAGGCTCGACGTCGATGGGATCCTGTCGGCAGCGGGGCGGCGGGCGGGCGGTTCGGTGAGATGAGAGGCGCTGCCGAGCGCGGAGTGAGCGTGGGGGGTCCATCGGGGATGGCTGGCGGCCGGGGGCGCGAAGCTACACCGTCATGCTCGGTGTCGGTGGGTCCCACGGATTGAGCGTGTAGGTGTGTGGTCGTGAGGCTCCCACGCCACGAGTCCCAGATCCCACACGTGGGAGCCCGCCGTGGGACGTTTGTGGGAGCTTAGCAAAAACCCTCTCCTATGTACTCGCCTACGAGTATACTCGCCCAGGGCCCACAGGCCGACGAGCACACTCCTCTCCTTAAATCCCGATGTTACGTCTATCCCTCTTGCTCCTGGTCGGGCCACTGGACGCGCTCCGCGTCGCTGTGACCGGCGCTGGCGGCCAGACGGGGCAGCACGCCTTCCGGAAGCTGCTCGCGCTGCCCGAGTTTGAGCCGGTCGGGATTGTGCGGAGCGAGGAGAGCAAGGCGGCGCTGGTCAAGTCGGGTGTGCCTGCCGATGCGGTGACCGTGGCCGACGTCACCGACGAGGCCGCCATCGCCGCTGCGCTCGCCGGCTGCGACGCTCTCATCATTGGCACCAGCGCCAAGCCGGCGCCGAGCGGAGAGACGGACGAGTCGACGGGCCGCCCCATCTTTGGCTTCCCGAACGGCCAGCCGGAGGCCGTCGATTGGCTCGGCCAGAAGTCGCAGATCGACGGCGCCAAGGCTGCCGGCGCGATCCACGTCGTCCTCTGCTCCTCGATGGGCGGCACCGACCCGGGCAACATGCTGAACGCGCTCGGGCGCGAGAGCTTGCCGGACGGCTCGACGAAGGGTGGCGACATCCTGCTGTGGAAGCGCAAGGCGGAGAAGTACCTCATCGACAGCGGCGTGCCGTTCACCATTGTCCACCCGGGCGGCCTCCTCAACGAGCCCGGCGGCAAGCGGCAGCTCGTCCTCGGGGTCGATGACGAGCGGACCGTCGGGGAGCGGTCGATCCCGCGCGAGGACGTGGCGGAGGTGCTGGTGCAGGCGCTGCGGATACCGGCGTACCGCGGCCGCTCCTTTGACCTGCGGAGCATGAACGAGGGCGAGGGGGCGGTCACGACTGACTTTGCGGCGCTGCTCGACGAACTCGGCGGCAGAGACTGCGACTACTCTCTCGGCAAGATGGCGTAGAGCGAGAGGACAGGTCGCGTGGAGCCGGGTCGCGTGCTCGTCTCTAGCGTGCTGGGCCGGGAAGCATCTCGACCGCCACACCCGCACACATCGAGAGTCCAGCTCGCACAGCGCCATGTAGCAGCGGTGCCGCGCTGCTTGTGCCTCGCGCGCGTCGCGGCTGGCAATGGGGCTGCCCGTCCATGTCCATGTCCATGTGTGCCCCCATCGCCCCCCACGCATGCCCGCGCGCCGGCGGCCTGTCGCTGTCGCGCCTGTCCCCGTCTCCCAGTGTGTGACTGTGACGTGTGAGCGGCGCCGTGTCCTCGTCTGTCGAGCCGCAGACGGCAGAGCGGACAGCTCTCGGAGTCGAAAACGCGAAACATGCTGCACCAGATTTTTTTCAAGTTTGGAAGGAGATCATAGTTCACAGAAACCACTGTAAGATACATTGCGCGCGCGAGCCGCCCAGCGCCCCGCCCCGCCGCCCTGCGCCCCGATGGCGATGCTCGTGGCGCAAGCCGAGCGCGCGTCTTACCGCACCCCCCCCTCTATTTCGTCACAGCTCAGAAGCACTTGCGGTGCACGATGGACGGGCCCGACTCGTCGTACTCCTGCTTGGAGATCCACATCTGCTGAAGGTGGAGAGCGAGGAGAGGATGGAGCCGCCGATCCAGACCGAGTACTTGCGCTCCGGCGGCGCGATGATCTTGACCTTCATCGACGCGGGCGCGAGGGCGGTGATCTCCTTGGACATCCGGTCGGCGATGCCGGCGTACATGGTGGTGCCGCCCGAGAGGACGACGTTGGCGTAGAGGTCCTTGCGGATGTCGACGTCGCACTTCATGATCGAGTTGTACGTCGTCTCGTGCACGCCCGCCGACTCCATCCCCAGGAAGGAGGGCTGGAAGAGCGCCTCGGGGCAGCGGAAGCGCTCGTTGCCGATGGTGATGACCTGGCCGTCGGGCAGCTCGTACGACTTCTCGAGCGAGGAGGAGGAGGCGGCGGTCTGCATCTCCTGGTCAAAGTCGAGCGCCACGTACGCCAGCTTCTCCTTGATGTCGCGCACGATCTCGCGCTCGGCGGTGGTGGTGAAGGAGTAGCCGCGCTCGGTCAGCAGCTTGACCATCCAGTCGGTCAGGTCGCGGCCGGCGAGGTCGAGGCGGAGGATGGCGTGCGGCAGCGCGTAGCCCTCGTAGATGGGCACGGTGTGCGAGACGCCGTCGCCCGAGTCCATCACGATGCCGGTCGTGCGGCCCGACGCGTACAGCGAGAGGACGGCCTGGATGGCGACGTACATGGCGGGCACGTTGAAGGTCTCAAACATGATCTGCGTCATCTTCTCGCGGTTGGCCTTGGGGTTGAGCGGCGCCTCGGTCAGCAGGACCGGGTGCTCCTCGGGTGCCACGCGCAGCTCGTTGTAGAAGGTGTGGTGCCAGATCTTCTCCATGTCGTCCCTGTGCGAGGGGGAGAGGAACCGGAGTCGGCACGAAGCGGGCTGGTTGGCGGCCGAGGGAATCGAAGATTTGCCTGGGGAAGTGGGCTCAGGGGCTTCTCAGCGGGCGCGCACCAGTTCGTGACGATGCCGTGCTCGATCGGGTACTTGAGCGTGAGGATGCCACGCTTGGACTGCGCCTCGTCGCCGACGTACGAGTCCTTCTGGCCCATGCCGACCATCACGCCGGGCTGGCGCGGGCGGCCGATGATGGAGGGGAAGACCGCGCGCGGGGCGTCGTCGCCCGCGAAGCCCGCCTTGCACATGCCGGAGCCGTTGTCAACCACAAGCGCCGCAACTTCGTCGTCAGCCATTTTTGTTGTTTGGAAGGAGGAGTTGGGGTGCCTGAGGCGGGGCGAGGGGGCGTCCGGCGGTGAGCGGGTGCGCGGCGGTGCGTGGATCGGGTCGGGGGGCGCGCGTGCTCGGGGGCGAGAGGGTGGCGGCGCCGAAGTCGGATACCTTTGAGTGCTCGCCGATTGCCGAGCGTGGAAGCCGCCGCGTCTTGCGGGTTTGTTTCTTTTTTCGTGCTCGTTGGCTTTCCCTCCACATACTACACACTACACACAGTGTACTAGCACTGCGCATCCCGCGCCGTGCCCCCAATGTCAATACTCGAGCTTCCTTGTGCTCAATCTTGTCGTCCTACGTCCCTTGCGAGCGTTCGCGTGAAGCCCAGTGTTTTGATCCTTTACAGTCCTACATAGAGCCAGCCACCCTCCGGCTCTGAGCCTCCGCGCTCAAACGTGGTACCTTACGGTGAGGTGCACTCCACCCCCGAGGTCATGCTCATGGCGGACATCTCAGAGAGAGATTTTTAGCAATACCAAACAAGTTGTTTTGTTTGACATCTCCGCCACGCCCAGCAGGCAGCAGCGAAAAAATGACCAATCTGATCACCGACTACTCTGGCGATCCCGTCACTCTCGACGACAACCTCGGCCTGCGCCCTCGCGCCCGCGCCGTCTCCGGCCTGTGCCCCTGCGCCCGCGCCATCTTCGGCTCAGCGCCGCCCATCATCCAGCTCGCCCTCTCCATCGCCACCTCCATCTTTGTCGTCACCGTCGACTTTGTCCACTACTTTCTCACTGCCGCCCGCCAGCTCGTTGTGTGCGCTCGCGAGCGGTTCACCGCCGCTTGCGCTCTCTCTGCGGCCTGCGTGGCTGCATGCGGCACAGCGTCTTCTGCCGGGCGCGCATCTGAATTCGTACCTGGTAGGCCATCGCTTTGCTGATGAAAGATCAGGCGCCTGAATGGCGACAGTGAGCGTCTCCTACTTATGGATTGCGCTCGAGGTCCGAGGAGCGCAAGAGCGCGCCGCAGGCGAAGCGATTTTTTGGCTGGCAGCCTGTTTCAGTTTATCTTGTGATCACGCTCGAGCCTGTGAATAGGCCCCGGAGGCCTCAACCCCCAACTAAAGGGTTGAGGGGGGGGGCTCAACCCTCAACCCCTCAACCACCCCTCTGGGTAGAATTTCTAAAATGGCGCCGGAGGCTCCCCGGGCCGTCCGCGCACAGTCCACAGAACCTTTGTCTAAAAACAAAACAAGAAAATCGATGAGTCACCACTAGGGGCTGGGGGGCTCCGATCTCCATCTCCCCAGTACTCTCCAATCCTCCAGCGTCGCTACATCTTAGGCCGGATCCAGTCAGATCTCCGATCTCCATCTTCAATCTCCAATCTCCAACGTCGTCATCTTAGGCCGGATTCAGTCAGATCTCCGATCTCCATCTCCAATCTCCAATCTCCAATCTCGATTCGGGGGCCCGGGGGAGGAGGGGGGCTCAAACCTTCAAGGAGATGCGCTATGGATTCATTCACATAGCAAAAGGATCTCCACACTCTTTTCGCGCCATTTTGCAATCTCCAGTCGGCCCACACGATCTCTAGGCGCCTTTGGCGCGAAGTCAGAATCTCCACCTCTGTCGCAAGATCTCAAGCGACTGCACGCACCAACTCGAGATCTCAGACTCCTCTCGAGCATCTACACCGGAGAAGATTTGCCTCCACCAGCCTCTTCAATCTACTGCTGCTCTTGGCAGGAGATTTGCCACTTAAGAGATCTCTAAAAGGCATCTACGATCTACAATCCAAGGATCTTCCGATGTTGCGCAGAGATTTCCATGTATGCGCCCCCCACGCATGCCCGCGCGCCGGCGGCCTGTCGCTGTCGCGCCTGTCCCCGTCTCCCACACTGTGTGACTGTGGGACGTGTGAGCGGCGCCGTGTCCTCGTCTGTCGAGCCGCAGACGGCAGAGCGGACAGCTCTCGGAGTCGAAGCTCGAAACGCGAAACATGCTGCGATCATAGTTCACAGAAACCACTGTAAGATACATTGCGCGCGCGAGCCGCCCAGCGCCCCGCCCCGCCGCCCTGCGCCCCGATGGCGATGCTCGTGGCGCAAGCCGAGCGCGCGTCTTACCGCACCCCCCCCTCTATTTCGTCACAGCTCAGAAGCACTTGCGGTGCACGATGGACGGGCCCGACTCGTCGTACTCCTGCTTGGAGATCCACATCTGCTGGAAGGTGGAGAGCGACGAGAGGATGGAGCCGCCGATCCAGACCTGTGCGCGAGGAGGGGAGTGGGCGGTGAGAGAAGCGTGGGGAGGCGATGGGGCGCGCGAATGGGGCGCGCGGCACCGAGTATTTGCGCTCGGGCGGCGCGATGATCTTGACCTTCATCGACGCGGGCGCGAGGGCGGTGATCTCCTTGGACATGCGGTCGGCGATGCCGGCGTACATGGTGGTGCCGCCCGAGAGGACGACGTTGGCGTAGAGGTCCTTGCGGATGTCGACGTCGCACTTCATGATCGAGTTGTACGTCGTCTCGTGCACGCCCGCCGACTCCATCCCCAGGAAGGAGGGCTGGAAGAGCGCCTCGGGGCAGCGGAAGCGCTCGTTGCCGATGGTGATGACCTGGCCGTCGGGCAGCTCGTACGACTTCTCGAGCGAGGAGGAGGAGGCGGCGGTCTGCATCTCCTGGTCAAAGTCGAGCGCCACGTACGCCAGCTTCTCCTTGATGTCGCGCACGATCTCGCGCTCGGCGGTGGTGGTGAAGGAGTAGCCGCGCTCGGTCAGCAGCTTGACCATCCAGTCGGTCAGGTCGCGGCCGGCGAGGTCGAGGCGGAGGATGGCGTGCGGCAGCGCGTAGCCCTCGTAGATGGGCACGGTGTGCGAGACGCCGTCGCCCGAGTCCATCACGATGCCGGTCGTGCGGCCCGACGCGTACAGCGAGAGGACGGCCTGGATGGCGACGTACATGGCGGGCACGTTGAAGGTCTCAAACATGATCTGCGTCATCTTCTCGCGGTTGGCCTTGGGGTGAGCGGCGCCTC